ACTTATTTTTTACAGACATTTTAATTTCAAATTTAGACAAAATTTCATATTTAAACCAAGAATTACGATTTTAGTTATTTTGTTGTGATTGAATAATACTATTCGTGGGTACTTGAAACTTCTAAAGTGTACTATTATATATCTATGATAGTATCACGGTTTTTGTTGATGTATAACGCGTTATAAGTATCTAATGGATATTGTGATATGATTAATTTGGAATTTATTATAGGTACCTATTATAGGTCAATTTTTTGTTTAATACCATAGATATGTATATAATATGCCTTATACATAGACTGACATACCATCACCGCTCAGAATCGTTTTTCTTATTCAATGATATTATATCATTAAATTCAAATTTAATACCATCCATTATACAGTGACCCACTTGTAACCTACTGTACAGCAGAGCGACACCCACTTGCCCACCTTTTTTTTATATTTTTATTTATATTTTTATTTATATTTTTGTGTCTGTCATCACGTTTTGGGACAGTAAAAGTGCTTCGATTTTCTTCAATAGTACTTTTTCTGATAGGAAAGTGAATCTAGTTGGTACTTTGGGGGGGTCAAAAGTAAACATTTTCCAGTAGTTTTCACAAGCGCCGGGAAAAACAACATAAAAATTAAGGAAAAACGGGAATTTTTACGCAAAATCGATTTTCCAAAAAATCGAATTTGGTTATTGGTGTAACTTTAAAACAAATGACCGTAGATACATGAAATTTTCACTGGTTGTTTATATTTGCATTTTCTATACACGATAACATTTTCAAAATATTTTGATTTATTTTGAACTGTTTAGGGACATTTTCATTTTTCATTTTTTTTTAGTTTTTTTTCTAGAAATATCAATAAAATTTTATTTGTTGGTTGCGAAAGCTTGAAAATTTTATAGAAGGCTCCTAATATGTTGTTTCAAAGGCAGATGAAAAATATTAAAAATCCTTAGTCACAATTTTTTTTATAAGCATTTAAAGTTCAAAAATTGACAAAATATGGAAAAATCACGAAAATTAGCAAATTATTTTGAGTTAAGAATTCGTAAAAATTTTTTTTTTTAAATCTAAGATTTGAAAATGAAACACAAGATTCCTTATAAGATTATCTACCTTTATCAATAAAAAAATCTCAACCGGACAGTCAAATTAAATTTTTATGAGCGTTTGAAATTCAAATTTTTACAACATTGGATTTTCACTCGATTTCTCATGTAGTGATTTCCTTATTTTGTTGTAATTCAAAAACGAATAACTGTAGATACATGAAAATTTCACTGAATGTTTATATTAGCATTTCCTATACACCATACAATTTTGAAAATATTTTGACTCTTTTTGAGCTGTTTATGGACATTTACAGCTTTCAATTTTTTTTAGTTTTTTTTTCTATAAATATCAATAAAGTTTTATCTGTTGGGCCAAAAAGTGTAAAAATTTAATACAAGGCTCCTGATATATTGTTACAATATCAGTTGAAAAATATTAAAAATACATAGGCCCAGTTTTTTTTTATAAGCATTTACAGATCAAATTTTGACAAAATTTATCAAAATCTCGAAAATTATCAATCGTTGGAATTAAAAAATTATAAAATGTTCAGTTTTTATAACTAAGAGTTGAAAATTTAAAACAAAGATTCTCTTAAATAATTCATACTGTAACCAAAAAATCTAAAAATATATAAACACACTTATTTTTTACAGACATTTTAATTTCAAATTTAGACAAAATTTCATATTTAAACCAAGAATTACGATTTTAGTTATTTTGTTGTGATTGAATAATATTATTCGTGGGTACTTGAAACTTCTAAAGTGTACTATTATATATCTATGACAGTATCACGGTTTTTGTTGATGTATAACGCGTTATAACTGTTATAAGTATCTAATGGATATTGTGATATGATTAATTTGGAATTTATTATAGGTCATTTTTTTGTTTAATACCATAGATATGTATATAATATGTCTTATACATAGACTGACATACCGTCACCGCTCAGAATCGTTTTTCTTATACAATGATATTATATCATTGAATTCAAATTTAATACCATCCATTATACAGTGACCCACTTGTAACCTACAGTACAGCAGAGCGACACCCACTTGCCCACCTTTTTTTTTTTGTAATTTCAAATATATTAATATAAGTATGTTATTATGTATTTTCTCAAATTTTAAAATATTATTAAACATTGATTTAAATTTTCATGAAAAATGTATTGTACTTGTGTATAGATTATTGGTACAAGATTTTTTTCGTAGTTTGTTGTTAAAATGTCTATGTTCTAACGAGTATGGACCCCCCCATTGAAAAAATTCTGGTTGCGTCACTGATTGGAATAATGTGCTGTGTAAATGCAGTTTCAGATGTATAAATGTTCATGTCACTTTAAGGTATTTGTCTATAAGCTAATGTCTTTTAATATGTTATTTAAAATATATTTATAATAGATAGTATCTACCACCAATTAATTATATTAGACGTTTTAAAACTACAAAATAATTTGTAAATCATCGTGATTTTTACGAATTTTGTCAAAATTTGAACATTTATTTCTTATAAATCATTGATTAATTTAATCTTACCAGTTTTTAGAACTTCTTAATTTTTCAACTGCTATTGTAACAATATATCAGGAGCCTTGAATTAAATTTTTACATTTTTGATCCAACAGATAAAACTTTATTGATATTCATAAAAAAAAACTTATCAAATTGGAAACTGAAAATGTCCCTAAACAGTTCAAAACAAATCCAAATATTTTGAATATTTTATCGTGTATAGAAAATGGTAATACAAACAACCAGTGAAAATTTCATGTATATACGTTCATTTGTTTTAGAGTTACTGCACCAAAAACCAAAATCGATTTTTTGGAAAACCGATTTTGCGTAAAAATTCCCGTTTTTCCTTAATTTTTATGTTGTTTTTCCAGGCGCTTTTGAAAACTACTAGGACATTTTTACTTTTGACCCCCCCAAAGTACCAACTAGATTCACTTTCCTATCAGAAAAGCTACTGTTGAAGAAAATCCAAGCTTTTTTACTGTCCTAAAACGTGATGACAGACACAAAAAAAAAAATTAAAAAAAATTTAAAATTTAAAAAAAATTAAAAAAAAAACACACACATCATTGTAAAATCAAAACATTCATCGTTTCACTCAGAATCTAAAATAACTAATACAAAATAAATTATGTGTTACTAATTATTAATAGACCAAATAAATAACTAAACATTTTTTAGTTATTTTTGTTAATTTTATTTAGATATTATGAATTTTAGATTCTGAGTGGAACAATGAATGTTGATTTTACAATGATGTGTGTTTTTTTTTTTATTTTTTTTTTGTGTCTGTGAACAGGATAAGTAGTTATAATAATGATTAATTAATTAATAATGTTTCGATTTTCAACTTCAGTATTTTGTTAGATTTGAAAGTGGATATTGTTGGTGCATTAGGGATGTTAAAATTTAAAATTCCCAGTAATTTTCAAAAGCGCCAAGAAAAACAAAAGAAAAGTTAAGGAAAAACGGGAATTTTGAGCAGAGCAACTTTTTTTTATCTTTATAATCTTTATATATCAAAATAAATGTACATTTTGAATACATTTTATAACTCAAGATCCGCCAAACCGATTTCGATAAAAATTTAAGAGCATATTAATATTGATATTTAGATAGTTTCTGTGAAGTTTGTACACTGTGCAATAAGTGGTTTCGGAGTTATGGCCTCTTAAATGCACACCTGGCGAGTTGTTGGTGTTCCAGTCGCAAAATTACTATGACAATGATATTCAAAATAAAAAAACGAGCATTTTTAAATGATTGCGTTTCCATTTCCCAAATAATAATAATAATAAACAGCTGCACATACATATGAGAACATCAATTCTATTTCCCAGATAAATATTAATTGGTTTGAGATTAAATGAAATTGATTTTTATTAAATTACAATTGTAAAAAATGCCACGACCAAGACGACAGAGTATAGGCTGACAATCACGTAATTATGTCGCCCAACAGCATCATATAGGTTGCAACGAAATGTTGTTCAACAAGTACGAAACGATCAATATATAATATATATACGATAATACACCTGCAAGTCCGTCAACAAATCCAGAATAAATATATAAATGTGAAATGAAAATCTTTGTACAGGGTAAACTCTGGAACTACTAATCAGATCTTCTCGGTTTTTTGTAAACGAAAGAGTATATTCCGGAGAAGGTTTTTATGAATGAAAATTTTAGGAAAATCCACCGGAAAAGTAGGAAATCTGGATGTCAAAAATACAACAGTGACGCAACAGGTTAGGTTAGGATTTTGTAATAATTGATTAATTAATTGACGGAAAAGTTAAGATTGATTTCAAACACCATACACCGAATATTGAATAACGAATTGAACAAAGTTTGAGTCATATAGAGTTGGTACATTTAACGGGCAACAAAGTGCACGGGTTCAGCTAGTTGAGTCTACATTTTTTTTACCACTTCACCGAAACTAAAATGATCTTAAATCAAAAAGCTTAGAAAATTAATACAAAGTTCCATATTATATATTTTTGTTTTGGTGGTTATTGTGTGTAGTGAGCCATGATCCATGGATTTAAATTTTATATATTAATTTTTTCCTAAAATTAAGAAGTTAAAATTTGACAAAATTCCCAATAATGTACAAACTATTTTATTGTTAAATATTTCTAAAATATCTGAATAAGGTTTTGAACATTAAATACAAGTTTCCATATAAAAAATATAACATTTAAGCATATATCACTACCAATGGATATAGAATCCTTTCTGGAAATCCATTTGCTTTCACTGGGTGGATCATCACTATTAAAATCTGCAGAAGTATTTGCAATTGATATTAGAAATGATACTGAAACAGAAAATCCCGTTATTCAAAATAAAAATTATAATTTAAACATGTCAAACTGTCCTTTATGTAAATCCGGATCCTTTCCTTCTAAGAATGGAGCACATAAATGTTCAGTATGCAAAATACCAGTCCATGCACTATCAGTGTTCAGCACATCTTCCAAATGAAGATGATATTCGTTTATGCTATAGCTGTTTGGAAATAAACGAAAAGTCCAAAGAAAACAATGCAACAGATAACTGGTGTCGACAATCTAAAAAACAACTGAAGAGTGCATCTTATATCATTCCTAATCCCCACTTACGCCACGTTAACATTGGTAACTCTCGAAACTCACGTAATTTACCTTTGCTCAAAAATGGATCACGTGCTGATGAATTTAAGGCATGTGCACTTAAAAGTCAAAATACAAACGTAATTTTGAGTAACACGTGTGCCTTTGACTCAATTGCATCAATGATTATGGTTTCATTCTGTGACAGTCAAAATTATTCAAGTGGTCTTTTGAAAAATAAAACGAAATTTGTTAAGTTCATTTCTGAATTGGTGAAAAATGGCATAACTCCACATACATATTCTGAACGAGCAGAATTAATAATCATATCGCTTAATCCGAACAGAGAAACAATGGAATATAATACGAAATTAGTAATCTGTGATACTACACCAAAACCCGTATTTAAATATATGTTAAGTGAATTCTCTTCCTTGAAAGAAACAAGCAAATGCTCAAATGAAAAATGTGAGAAATATCAAGAGAAGTGTCAAGATCGTTGTTTTGTTACATTTACTACTACAAGTGGACAAGTTGATGATCTTCAAGAACTTGTAAGTAATGGAATGAAGACTGAAGAGTTTATGTAACCACCAAATTAATGAGCCATAAACCAGTGGAAAAACCAGTTATGAAGTATCACCACTTCATGTGTTAATTGAAATTTTATATTGGAAAGGTAAACTAAAATCATCAATAAAATAATAAAATAAATATTTATAATTTTGAGTCTATTACAGGTGAAAACATGCAGCAAAGTAGTGAGGCAGCACCCCACATAAAAGTAAAACTATGTGATATCCCTGAAGTCATAATTCTTAACGGTACATCTTATGACCTAAGGGGAGTACTAAATTACAGACCAGGAAAAAGTTTCCTTAGAAGCTCTATTGGGCATTATACAACATATACCAGAAGAAGTGGAGGTAATTGGGAACTTTACGACGATTTAAAGAAAAAACCTATGCCAATATCCCAAAATACAACTGCATCATGCGAACATCTATATTATAGTGTATAATTTTATATTTATATTGATTTTAATTATTTAAATGAAAAAGACGTTTTAAATATTGTTTTGTATTTATAAAAAATACAGAATTATAAAACAAAATATAAAGCAATCAGAAATATAAGAGGTATTTTTTATGCTATTCACAGAGTTAAACAAAAAGATATATTTTATTAGAATAATATATAAAAAAAAGTAGGTAAGTAGATGTCGCTCTGCTTTTCAATAGGTTACGATTGTATCAATGTATAATGGATTGTATTAAACTTCAGTTCAAAGATAAAATATCATTGTATAAGAAAAACGATTCTGAGCGGAGACGATTCGTCAGTCTAGATATATTTTATATTGTTATATTGTTTCCTAACCATTTAAAAATATCAAAAATGCATGACGTTAATATTCAAGGTTGCACTTCTGCCGGCATTCCCGGTATGCAATCCGTCTGGTTATTTATTTTTATTCGTTTCTATGGTAATAAACAAAGCGTTAGAAATTAAAATCCCATCTTAAGTGGTATTTGTATTTTGCCGGTGGTTTTTCCCGTGGCATTAAATAACTATTGAGAAAATCAAAAAATGACCTTTTTAAAGTACCGTCTTGATCCAATTCTCTAAAATATAATGTACTGTATGTTGAAATCGAAGCACTCCTTCTGGTAGACATTTTATATAGGTACAGGCATTGATTATATTATATTATATTGCATTAATATACATAGATAGCCCACGCAACGTTAAAAACTGTTAATGAGTAATCGAGGTATTGGGAGCCTAAATATAATAGCACGGGAGCCTGAATTCAGATAGCGCTTGAGTAGTTTTCGACACTATCACAACCGCGATGGTAACCACGATGGTAGTACTTGGTAGTTATAATGGTATTTAGGTTTACTTAACAATTTTTGATAAGCGGTAAGTGATAACATTTAATTGAAAAGTTAACTGACAAAAACCATCTTATGATTCTTATGTCTAATTCGACTATGCTCTGAGTGCTCTGACAAGTGACAACTATACAGACTTTCTGCCTACTTTACCTCGCGTTCTTTACTTATTTTGCAGTTCTTGTATATTAATATTATGTCGCGCGGTTGTGGTAGTAAATGTGTGTACATGGACTGTGGTAAATCCGCTCGTAATAATCCGGATTTGACATTCCGTAAATTTCCAACAAATGCGGACGTTCGTAAAAAGTGGATTTTGAGTTCAGGTAAGGACAATCATATTAGAAAAATAATGGAACATAATGTTTTAGAATGTTAATAAAATACACAAAAAATTTGTTATTTTTATCAAAATTAAACTACAAGATAAGTGTAATATTAGCTTAATAATTCATATAAAGTTTATGGGTATGACTTGATAGTTGATACTAGAGAGCCTAGATAATATATATATAAAGGCTCTTTAGTTGATACTTAGTAATTCAAAAAAAAATTATACATTTTATGTGTTGTCTTGTGTGTGTAAGACTGATAAATAATAACACACTACTGTTTGGTAAATAACTAGGTATGTCTTATAATTTTACCAAATTATTCAAATTGTATTTTATTTCCGGTTTTCTATAAGAATGTATTTTGTGGTATTGATTAAATATACATGTAGCCATGTAGGTACTAGGTACCTACAAATGTACATTTAATTAATCGTTATCAATGTAATAGGTATAGCTAGATACGGCTAGATATTGGTAGCTAACTATAATATAATTATGAGAAAAATTGCTCTGTAGCTTACAACTTAAGAAGGGGAATAAATACCTTATTATTATTTATATTTTATTCAAAAACTATTTTTTATGTTAGGTACATCAGTTATTTTCTATAGGCGGTATACTACTCTTTATCATATTTTGGTAGAATGTAAAAAAATATATTGGCCTTTTGATAAACAGCTAACATTTGCATTTTGCATCACTTAAGTTAACTACCTACCTAAATCTTTTTGTTATAATACTATCAATACCTACCTATAGCTTTATTGTATTGAGTGAAGTCGCTTACTATGACCAATATCCCCAATCTATCGCTAGCTATCTTTATTTACTTTGTAAAAAAAAAATGCCATATGGCATTATACTTATGGCAGTATTTAGATTAGATGTTTAGTATACACTGGTTTATTTTATAATACAAATTATAAACTATGATTTCACCACTGTTGGTTTGGACGTGGCCATAGGTGACGACTTCACCCTAGATATTATAACTTAAAAGTAAATATTTTAAATTTTGTACTAAATTAAATTCTTATATTTTAATTAGGAAATGTTACTCTACTGAGTCTCACGTCAAAAGAATTATCATGTCGATACATCTGCGACACTCATTTTCTAAGCACAGATTATACTAACGAAAATAAAAGCAGATTAAACAAACAAGCAGTTCCTACTCAATATACAGATATCGGAAATTTTCATGTTACCACACCTACTAATGTTTACAAGAAAGTATGTTTAAGAAGCCCAATTCAATTACAAATGGTTACCAAATCAGGTTCTCCGAATTTCTACGTTCAAACACCAAATAAAATTCCCCCTTCCACTAGTTCCACTAGTAACTTATCCACAGTTGCTTCTACATCTTCGACTCCAGTATTGACACCAACAACAAGAAAATTCATTGAAGAATCACATGTGCCAATAAAATTACACCCTAAAAATTATTTAGTGGTGATAAAGTTGCAAAACTAAAATTTGCTCTGAAACAAAAAAAAAAGCAAATTAACAGTAAAAATGTATCCCTGTTTAGATTGAAAAATAGGTTGCAATTAATGAAAAATGGAAGGCAGACTACCAATAATATTGTAGATTCTTTACAATATCCATCAAAAGACTCTAAAGCACTTGTCAAAATGCAGACATTAAGAGCTAAATCGTCAAGAAAACCTTTCACAAAAGCAGAACAAAATTTTGCCCTGAGTTTATTTTACAAATCACCAAGTACTTACAAATTTCTAAGAAATAATAAGAAAATAACTTTACCTGGCATGTCAACAATTCGTCGGTGGATTGGTAATTCAAAATTCAGACCGGGATTTAACTCAGGGCTATTTCGACAATTAAAAAAAAAATGTGAATCAATGAGCCAAGATGAATTATACTGCACATTAATATTTGACGAAATGAAGATTAAAAACTATCTTGAATATTCTAAGTTTCTAGATTGCGTTGAGGGGTATGAAGATTTGGGAACAAAAGGTCGTACAAATAAATTAGCTGGTCAAGCCATGGTATTTATGATACGTGGTTTGTATTCATCATGGAAAATGCCTATTTGTTATTTTTTACCTGCGACATCAGTAAAAAATTGTATATTGAGTGAGTTGTTAGTGGAGGTAATTCAACGGCTATTAGATTGTGGATTTCATGTTAAAGCTGTAATATGTGACCAAGGAACTAACAATGTAGCAGCACTTAAACTATTAAAAGTTACAAAAGACAAGCCGTTTTTTGAAGTTAATGAAAGACGAATTTATTCTATTTTTGATACTCCACATTTATTTAAAAACTTGCGTAATCATTTAAAAAAAAGCAATTTTATATTTGAAGGCAAAGAAGCCTCTTTTCAAGACTTGAGAGATGTTTATGACATTGATAAGAAAAGTTGTACTAGTCGTTCTTTATTAAAAATTACTGACAATCACATAAACCCAGGGCCATTTCAATTGATGTCATGTAAATTAGCTATGCAACTTTTTAGTAATACAATGTCTACTGCTATAAAAACCAGTGTTTACACCGGTCAGCTGAAGTCTAAAACAGCTATACAGACAGCTAATATGATAAAATATTTCAATGATTTACTAGATGTACTAAATAGTATGAGTTTGTACCATTCCAATCCATTTAAATGTGCTTTATCCACCGAGAGACCCCAGCAACTAGAATTTCTTCAAAAAGCAATAATAACATTTGAAAATTTAAAAAAGAAAAATTCTACCAACAAAGGGAAAAAAGAAACCAGACCGGTTTGCTTTGATGGTATGTGCTGGACCTTGAATGCTATTATACTGCTGTATAAAGAACAACAAGACATGGGATTCCCATACATTTTGACTGGACGCCTCAACTCTGATGTAATAGAAAACACATTTTCTATATTTAGACAAAGGGGAGGATATAATAGGTAAAATATGCTAGCCTTGAATTCTTATATAACATAAAAGTTGAATATTTTAAGTTTTCAATAATTAATAAAATGTTGATGTTTTTTCAGAAATCCAACTGCAAGAACTTTCCGCACAACATTTAGAATTAATGCAAAAATGAGTTTAATGAAACCATCGAGTTCTTCTAACTGTGAGCCAGACGATGACATCCATTTAATGACTCACTCTGTAAATAATGACATCCAAATAGATGGAGATAGTAGTGAGTCAACAATATCATCCAATGAATCATCCGATTCATGGAAAATGGACAGCATTCAGTCAGAGAAAGAAGCGGTGGTTACTTTGGAAAATTGTTCAAACACATATTTTGCTGGTTACCTCGCAATGAAAACAATATTAAAATTTCCCTGCTCTTATTGTGAACAGTTAATGGTGAAGTCTGATTTTTCAGTTACAAATAAATTAGATTTTTTAATTTTTTGTAAAAACTATGATTCAAAAACGTCTGAAATGCATCTGAAAGTACCTACTTATGAACTGACGCAATTTATTATTTTGGCTCAAAAAATCCTTGCAGATATAGTAGAGAAAAAACCACACAGAAAAAAAATAGCCCAATTTGCTGAAAAAAAAATAAAAACTGAATTAATTAGTTTATTAAATGTTAATGAAACTTGTATTCCACATATTGAATTTTTGATCAAACATCTAATAATATGTAAACTTTTTAGAAATTTTAACTGGATTTCAAAAAATATTAAGCATGTGAGAGTTGAAAAATCCCAAAAAAAATTAAAAATTCTTAAAAATATTTAAAATAGATTTTGTATATATTATATTCTATTCTATTTTATAATGTGTCATTAATTATCATTATCTTTATTGTAAACTATTTTATATTATATTGTTATTGTTAATAATGTATTGACTGTTGTTGGTATTGCAAGTATTTGCAACACACTAATAAATTATATTATATTAGTCACAAATTGAATATTTTTATTTACCTGGTTACATTTTTTTTTTTTTATAATATAATATTCAAATTTTAGGAATGTTCATTATAAAAATGACAGACAATATTAACTTCATTAATTATTAAATATTAAATATGCACTAAATACATTTTTATTTCTAAAAAATAAAACATTTTTAAGAGCATTATTTTAAGAGGACGTCGCGTCGCACCTACATATTGTGTTGTCTCCGTCTTACACACGTACTAAATTTTCGTTCCCTAGTTTCAATAGGATGTTGTCAGTTTTGATATTACAGTGAATTGACCTCTTACAAAACTTTTAGGTAACAACATTATCTGTGTTCTCTCGTTGGTTTTTTACGATGATTTAATTGTCAAGTGAGCTATGAATATATAAATTATAAAGTATTAATATTTGAAAATGAACATATCTCATTTAACAATTAAAATATCGTAAAAAACCAACGAGAGAACACAGAGTTTGATAATGCGTCAATTCACTGTAATATCAAAACTGACAGCACCCAATTGGAACTAGCGAACGGAAATTTGCTATGTCGTACGTCTGTAAGACGGACTACGGAGGCAACATATTCGGGTGCGACATTCTCTTCAGATATTTTTTTATCATTTTTTAGTCCTAGTTTTAAATTAATTATTGGTAACAAAAGTTACAACCAGCTTTTTTTATAAATTACGATGTCGAAGTAAAATTTATTTTTTATTTAATATGTTATTTGTTCACACTTTGGCTGAGCAGACGCAAGAGCAGTAAACTGTCCTGTTTGATATTTTGATATTAGGATTAAATAAATTGTATTTGTCAATAACCATATACGAGATTAAAATATAGGTATTGTACTATTGTTTGATGTTTCCTTATCGCAGTTTATTTCTATCAAAATTCCAAAACAGGTATTTGGATAAATGCGGGCCGATCACCAACATTACCCCCCCCCACTTATGAACTATTCAATGCCTATTTATGATTTTAATTATTTCTTAGATATTGACATTACTAATGCCATCTATTGAGAGGCCGCGCTATTAATCACGGCTATTACATTATTTGTATAGCTGTGGGCTATCTATGTATATTTAATCAATGCTAATACCTATATAATAAATTCCAAATTAATCATATCACAATATCCATTAGGTACTTACAACGCGTTATAAAAATTAAAAACCGTGATACTATCATAGATATATAATAATACACTTTTGAAGTTTCTAGTACCCACGAATAATATTATTCAATCACAACAAAAAAACTAAAATAGTTATTCTAGGTTTTTTAATATGTAATTTCGTCCATATTTGAATTTCAAATGTTTGTAAAAAATAACTGTGTACATATATTTTTTAGATTTTTTGGTTACAGTATGAACTATTTATGAGAATCTTTGTTTTAAATTTTTAATCCTTAGCTATAAAAACTGAACATTTTATAATTTATTAATTAGAATGATTGAAAATTTTCGAGATTTTGATAAATGTTGTCAAAATTAGATCTTTAAATGCTTATAAAAAAAACTTGTGCTTATGTATTTTTTATATTTTTCAATTGCTATTGTAACAATATATCAGGAGCCTTGTATTAAATTTTTACACTTTTTGGCCCAACAGATAAAACTTTATTGATATTTATAGAAAAAAAAACTAAAAAAATTGAAAACTGAAAATTTCCGTAAATAGCTCAAAAAGAGTCAAAATATTTTCAAAATTGTATGGTGTATAGGAAATGCTAATATAAATATTCAGGGAAATTTTCATGTATCTACAGTTATTTGTTTTTGAATTACAACAAAATAAGGAAATCGCTACATGAGAAATCGAGTAAATATCCAATGTTGTAAAAATTTGAATTTCAAACGCTCATAAAAATTTAATTTGACTTTCCGGTAGAAATTTTTTTATTGTTAAAGGTAGACAAACTTATGAGTAAACTTGTATTACATTTTCAAATCTTAGATTTAAAAAGAAAAATTTTTACGAATTCTTAACTCAAAATAATTTGCTAATTTTCGTGATTTTTCCATATTTTGTCAATTTTTTAACTTTAAATGCTTATAATAAAAAAAAATTGTGACTAAGGATTTTTAATATTTTTTATCTGCCTTTGAAAAAATATACTAGGAGCCTTGTATTAAATTTTCAAGCTTTTTTAACCAACAAATAAAATTTTATTGATATTTCTAGAAAAAAAACTAAAAAAAAATGGAAAATGAAAATGTCCCTAAACAGTTCAAAATAAATCAAAATATTTTTAAAATGTTATCGTATATAGAAAATGCAAATATAAACAACCAGTGAAAATTTCATGTACCTAAGGTCATTTTTTTAAAGTTACACCAAAAACTAAATTCAATTTTGTGAAAAATCGATTTTGCGTAAAAATTCCCGTTTTCCCTTAATTTTTATGTTGTTTTTCCCGGTGCTTTTGAAAATTACTGAGCATTTTAAATTTTGACCTCCCAATGCACCAACGATATTCACTTTCCAATCGAACAAGATACTGAAGTTGAAAATCGAAGAATTATTTCTACTACTTATCGTGTACACAGACACAAAAAAAAAAAAGAAAAAAAGAAAACTATAAATTATATTTTACTTGTTGAACTAATATTAATTTTTTTCATGGTTAAATAATAGGAAATTGTTGCGCGTTACCCTTTTATTATATTAATATAGGTAATATGATTATAATTTCTTTTTTAAATATAAATGTGGTGATAAATAATATAGGTCACATACTAAATCTGTTTATTGATTTTATCCATTTGATAAACTGTAATTCATTGGATTGTGTAATACTTATAATATAGTAGTTTGTATAGTAGGTAATTTTAAACTAACAGTTACTTATAGAAATAATTTTTTAATAAATGTATGTTACAATTTGTTATCATTATATTTTACAACTATACATTTTAAATTAGTTATTTTTCTCAGTCAATGTACCCGAATCTCTAAAAATTACAGAATGATAAATAAAGATTTTAGAGTATTATTATTATCATTACGAGTAGATTACCTATAATTATTATATTACTATATTAGGTATACGTTAGGTATACCTACTACTAACATATATTATTATTAATTTAAATAAATATTTGTAATTACTTATTATCATATTTTAATATAACATTAACAGTTGAACTTAAAAAATAATACACGGTAAATTAATATTAATTTAATTGCGCTGTATTTATTTTATTTACCATTTATTAGATTTTACTATAAGTATTATATTTAAATAAGTAATAATTCAATAACTTCAATTCAAGCTATGTTATAATACAGTTTCTACGATCTATATGTTGGGACATAAATTTAAGTAAACAGTATCTTAATTTATAATCTGTAGTTCGTAGGTACGCGAGGGTATTGAAAATATTACGGGGGCATTTGCGTATAATGAATTATATAATGATACGAATGGTACTGGACGAAGGTTCATAGACAAATAAACGGCGCTCCCGAAGTCCCGAACGAGCACTCGTTGGCCGGTTGCGAATAGTAGGCGTGACTTAAACGCCGCGCGCTTGCGGATCGTGAAAACACCTAACAGCGCATCCTCTCGGTCGTTGCATGCGTACAGCTTTGGGTGACACGTCCTCTTAACGCAGAAAACTACAACCAGTCGGAGATATCGTGGATTTCAGAAAACCAAAGGATGCCAAAGCACGTTGGTAAAGGCAGACAAACGCTTCGCAAAAAGCGGACGGTAAATATCAGAAAATAATAGTTACCTCAGTGGACGATGGTCCATTACAATATTTGATTAACTGTGAGACTGCATTGGAAATGTGGGAGAAACTGCTGAGTATTTACGAGCGGAAGTCTGAGGCAAGTATTCATTTGCTTCAACAACAATTTTTCAGTTATTTAAAGGAGCCGACATGTCGACGCATATTTCTAAATTGGTCAATTTAGGAAGGAAACTGAGAGTAGCGGGTGAACCAGTTACGGATAACATGGTTATGACAAAAATACTAATGACATTACCAAAAGAATATAATCATTTTTACAGTGCTTGGGATTCAGTCCCAACGGGAAGTAAAAATATAAATAATTTAACTAGTCGGTTGTTGATTGAAGAATCACGGGTTATCCAGATCAAAGGTGAAGTTGGTGAACAAGAGAAATCGAGTGCATTTCCAGCCAAATTTCAAAACAGATCCGATGGAAAAAACGGCAGGTATGGTAAAGGTAAAAAACAATTTACTAATAAAAGTAATGTTAAATGTTATTACTGTGGTAAAATTGGTCATTATAAAAGAAACCTTACGAGTTATATTATAAAGTCGTGCCAGATATTAAACATTTACGAGTTTTTGGTACTGCGGTATATACACACATACCAAAGCAAAAACGTCAGAAATGGGATCCAAAAAGCGAAAAAGGAATATTTGTTGGATATTCGAACAGCACGAAAGGTTATCGTGTATGGTATTCGAAAACAAATAAAATATCCGTGTGCAGAGACATTATATTCGAAGACGAATGTAATAATTATGAAAATGTAATTGCAGACACATTAGAGTTTACAGACACTCAAATTAATTCAACGGGAGTGCGTGAGAAGGACGAAAACATAGTCAATGATAGAAATGTTATGGTTCTACGTGACAGGAATACACTTAAGAAGCCGGACAGGTATAATGTTCAGACTTTTATTGCTAACTGTGTCAATCCATTGAATTATGATGAGGCAATTACTGGGTCAAACAAAAATGAATGGAATAATGGTATGAACGACGAAATTAATTCATTACACGAAAATCAGACTTGGACTCTAGTCAATTTGCCACAGGATAAAGTTGCATTACAAAATGCATGGGTGTTCAAAACCAAATATAAAATTGACGGTAGTATAGATTAATTTAAGACCAGATTGGTCATTAAGGGTTGTTCACAGAAATATGGTATAGATTACCATGAAACATTTTCGCCAGTGGTCAGATACGAATCAATAAGGGCGACATTCGCAGTAGCAACTGTGGAAAAATTAATACTACGACAATTCGACATCAAGACAGCATTTCTGTACGGGGAACTACAGGAAGAAATATACATGGTACAACCACCAGGTTACGAAGATGGCTCAAATCAAGTATGTAAGCTTCAGCGAAGTTTGTATGCCTTGAAACAAAGTCCAAGATGTTGGAATATACGCTTTAAGAACTTTTTGAATGCATTTGGTTTACAATGTACTGAAGCGGATGCATGTGTATTCAAAGCTGATAACAGCCAAATTATTCTTGCAATATTTGTTTTAATCGCGGCAGATAATGAAGAGATAATAGAGAAACTTTTAACGAACTTGGAGAAAGAGTTGAAGGTTAAAAAGGGAAACTTAGAATATTTTCTAGGTATGCAGGTAAACTTAATGAAAAATGGTTCATTATTTGTGCATCAGACAAATTATGTATGTAGCATAATTAATAAATTTAATATGCTGGACGCCAAGGAACTTTCAATTCCGATAGACAAATCACATAGGTACTATTGAACAAAAGGAAGAATCGGAGATATTAAGTGAAGAAATACCTTATAGGCAGGGAGTAGGTAGCTTACTGTTTTTATCACAGGTAACGAGACCAGATATAGCATATGCAGTAAACTTTGCTAGTCGTTACTTAGCAAAACCAACTAAAGCTCATTGGAACTTGGTAAAACGGATTATACGATATGTCAAACGAACATTTAATTATGGCTTGTATTTTAATCATAATACACAATTGTCATTAGAAATATTTAGCGATTCAGATAACGCAGGTGACGTTCAGACACGACGTTCAACGTCAGGATTTCTATTCAGATACGGGTCAAGCATAATTTCATGGACATCGCAGAGACAACATTGTGTGTCATTGTCATCGACCGAGGCTGAATATATTTCGGCCAGTGAAGCTGTAAAAGGGATCATGTGGATTACGCGGTTGATAATAAGCTTATCAAAAACAGGTGATAAACAACCGGTATTATTCATTGATAATCAGAGTGCTATTCGTTTAGTTAAGAATCCGGAGTTTCATAAGAGGACAAAACACTTAGACATACGATATCATTTCATACGGGAGAAATTCGAAGAAGGACAGTTCCAACTACAGTACATTGGAACAGAGGACCAGATTGCGGACATTCTAACCAAGCATTTGGTTAAGGAACGATTCGAGAAATTGCGGTCGGCTGTAGGAGTGACCACAATTAAAGACATTATTAATTGAGGGAGGGTGTTGAAATATACAATTAATATTAGTATTCAAACCATGTAAACACACGTGCGTGTACAATGTCGTTTTCTAATAGATACTTATGCAGTTACGATATAGCTGTGCAACACCTTTACTATCGCTTTCTATATTATATACGGATACGGGATGGCCTCGATTGTTCATATAAATAGGGCCTTTGATGTATGTAATAATCACTTGCACAGACGCTGTCATACCGAGTGTACGCGGTGTGTGTGTATAGTCACAGTTTAATTGTCCAGTTGTACGTTATTATATATTATACTTATACATAATCATATTGACGTGTTATTACTTATTATATTAATGCTAACATCATTAGTCCGTCAAGCTTCACTTTCAACAATGAAGCCGTAGAGGATATAATATTGTGGACTGTTGGGTTGTATGTCCACAACTGACGTTTGTAAAACACAACCGAAGACCCTAAGTTTGGTGTTAGAAGACACTGTTGAAGATCAAAAGCTAAAATACATATTTTGTTGTCTTTTGTTGCACATGATGAATCATTTCTTTTTGAGGTATACGCTTTTCCAGCTTGTGTTTGGTGTTTGATCTGTTCAGACATGAGTTCCGTTTTCTGATATGCAGTAATATTAATGCTTGAAAGTTGCATATGAATTCTATCGCAACGTACACACGTATCTTTCTTTGGATTTTTGGCTTTAAATCGGGAGGCTTTAAAATATTTTTCGTATATAGTACGGAATTACTACGGATTACAGGAGTTTGAGCAGATTTTTTATATTCATCATATTATGCAGCTTGTAAAGTAAAGAATGGTGGTAGATATTTTTTACTTGTTTCCTCGGCAGTAATGACTCTCATAAGTAGGGAGATTTTTTAAATGATCTTTAATAATCATTATTTTCTTATAACTTATTTTATTTGCTGGTTCTGATTTCCCTCTTTCATCTGGTGATGTATTGCTAACTGGAGAGTTGAATTGTTAAGCACAAACATTACGAAAAAACTTAGATGTTTCTCCAAATATTTTTGGGAAACATATTTTGCAAACTGATACTAAGTTACCATATTTTGGAATAGAACAATGGTATGTTTTTTTCCCTATTTTTTTGCTTTTCATGAGTAAATCTACGTTTTCTTGTTGTTATTTTTTCAGTAAAATGTATCGACCTGGAGATGTAAGATACTCTTCTAGTGAAACATTTCATTGACCAATAAAATTTAAACAAATGTTCACACAATTCAGTATCAATTTTACTGTTACATTTTGCTCTTCAATTTGTTAATGGCTCAGATGATCTGGCTTTGACAATTTTGCCTTTATTGGTAATGTATTCTAAACCACTATTTCTATTAACTTTTCTGTATTTCCTAAACTCATTTGTTTCTCCTTTAACACTGATTTTAATCTTTCTCATATGTGGATTTAATACATCAATTTCATTATCAAAAATATCATGTTCATCATTTGCTACTGAAATATTTTCTGGAGTACCCGGAATCGCACTTAATGTCTTAGGTAATGTCTTGACATTTTTCACTTTCTACCTAGTTTGTATTAAGAAAACATTTTATAACTTGATTTAAAAACCAATTAAATAATTATATGTTTTAATAGAACAATAAAAAATATTTTCAAATTGTTTAAATAATAATTTATGAATTGAATAAAAATTAATGTTTTCAGTTTTTAGTACAATCTAATCATATTAAAATACCTATTCAATAGCTCTACAATAATTTGTATGTTATAATTGAATACAATTTGCACTAAGAAGTGTAAAGATTTTATAATCAGATAATTATATAACTTAAAGTACTAATAGATTAATATTTGTATTGCTTAGTGTTCATTAAATATTTTTTAAAACATAATCATAATTATAAGTAGGTACATTTAAAAAAATATTATTATTGGAATAGTAGGCAAAATATTTTATTTTTTAAATAGGTTATTTAAATAAAAATATATCAACCATATAAAACTGTATTATAAAGGGATATCATAACATTATTATCCTTGTTAAAATATAATTTGCATAGATGTTTATATACTTATTTGGTGGTTATTACCTCTTGCTTATCACTTTCTTTAGATGCAGAACATAGGATCTTATCATCTGAATTAGTAGTAGTATTTAAACCAGTTACTTCATTCTCAAACACAATTTCAAAATCTATTCCATCAAGATTCAAAACATTATCTACAGTTTTAGATTTACAACTATCAATTATCTAAAAAGCCAAAAATAAAATTAAACAAAATTAATAAGGTAATAAGGGTAGTAAGTGTAAAAAATTCAAAGAAAGTAGGTAATGTAACTTACATCACGTGTCTGAACTTCAGCACTTCCATTACCATAAACTTTATTATGGTTACTTTCTTTTACCCATTCCTAATTGTAATATATTTACATAATAAGACATAATAATAAAATTTAAACTTTTGAATATATACCTATGAACAATAATCTTTTAAACTAAATATATTCACCTGTATACGATTGCGACGGAAAGAATTTGTTAACGTTTTAGAAGTACAATTACTTTCAAACAATTCCCTTTTTACGTTTCTATTATTATGTTCATTTTGTTTTTTTTCTAGGTCAAAAAAAAATTAAGTTTTACTAATATTTAAAAATAATTATCATAATATATTAATATATTATTTTATTATTAATGTAGGTACCTAATAAGTAAGAAGGGGCTCTAGGTAATTTTTAGAAAAGTGTAAGTACTAAAAAGGTAGAGATATAATCAGAACTTAAACATTTTGTAAACTTACTTCTTATCTGTCTATTTATAGATACATATATATTTATTTAATTAATATGAATGAGTAGTGTCACTAAGAATGACTAGTGCCCTATGACATTTGACTATGTTGAACTCTGTGTTATGAATACTGATTACTGACCATTCGCATAATATAACGAAGATTGACTAGTGCCCAACGGCATTTGTCAATATTATGAGATTACAAACAGGCATATCTAAATAACAGTGGTACCATTCCATCGGGCGTAAAATTTCCTACAAAATAGATGCATAATCTAAAAAAGACAAAATTTGACTTGTGCCCCTTTTCCCCAAAACCGTCCAACTATTTTAGTTATTTTGTTGTGATTGTATAATATTATTCGTGGGTACTTGAAACTTCTAACGTACACTATTATATATCTATGATAGTATCAGGGGTTGTTGTTGATGTATAACGCGTTATAAGTACCTAATGGATATTATGATATGATTAATTTGAAATTTATTTTAGCGGTGTCTATATTATAGGTCAATTTTTTTTAATACCATAGATAAATATATAATATGTCTTACCTATACCCAGTGGCAGCTCGTGGGGTTCATTGAAGGTGGGGCACAAATATTTCCTTCTTTTTCTACTATGACAACTTTGAAGTTACCATCAATTCCTGTTAATTTTTGAAATAAAATAAAATACATTTTTTGATACCTTTGATACTAAAACCGTATAAAGTATGTTGCACAACAAGTAATTAAAAAAAAAATATGTTTTAAAAATAAATATTAAATATAATTGTTATGCCTTTATAATATGTAATACAATGTAAGACTTTTTTTTGAAAAAGCAAATGAAATTAAGAATGGATTTAAGGCAAAAGCAACAATTATAAAGTATGAAGAAGGATTACTAATAACTGATAAAACAAAGGCTGCAAACGAGTTCAAGAACTTAGAACATGTTTGAAACAATACTGAATCAACCTACTCAAGTAGACGTGGAAGAAAACCTCAGCATGGTCGAACAGAGATTAGACGAACCCACGATAGAAGTAGTAGAAAGGGCAGAAGATATGTTGAAAAATGTGAAGGCACCAGGGGAAGACGCAATTGTTGCAGAACTGCTGAAAGGAGGAGAAAAAGAACTAATGACACAACTGAAATGACTAGTAGATAACATATGGAAACAAGAAGAAATACCAACAACATGGCGTATGTCAGTTCTATGCCCGGTTCACAAAAAAGGAAATGCTATGGTTTGCCAGAATTACAGAAGAATATCCCTACTAAACACTTGTTATAAAGTAGTATCGAACATTATACTAAACCGTATTAAACCATACACAAAGGAAATAATAGGGGAATATTAGTCAAGTTTTATGCCAGGGAAATCTACAGTGGATCAAATTCATACAATAAAGCAAACAATAGAGAAAAGCTACGAGTTTGACATAGATGTGCACTTACTATTTGTTGATTTCAAACAGGCATATTACTCCGTAAATCGATGTAGGTTATGGAAAGCAATGACCCAACTTGGAATCCCTACACAATTGGTGAGATTGATAAAGTCATGTGTGCAAAAGTCCAAGTGTAAAGTTAAGTTCAACGGAGAACTATCTGAAGATTTCTCAGTTGAAACAGGTTTTAGACAGGGAGATGAGTTGTCCCCTACATTATTTAACATAGCCCTAGAGTCAGTAGTGAGAGAAGAACTTGATGATGATACGGGTCTAAGAATAGGAGAAGGACATCAAATTACACTAGCTGCGTATGCTGATGATATAATAATTATAGGAGAAACCGAAGAAGACTTAAAACGGTTGGCAGAAAAACTAATAATTAAGGAAAAAGAGATTGGACTACAAGTTAATGAGGAAAAAACGAAATATGTAATAGTGTCACGTAGAGAACAAGTACAAAATTCGTTAGTAGTCGGAGGATTTACCTTCGAAAGGGTATCAAACTTTAAATACCTGGGAGTAGATGTTAACCAACAAGCAAACAGCCATGAAGAAATTAAAAGGAGAATAATTGCAGGAAATAAGAGCTATTTTGCGCTTGTACCTGTGTTTAAATCAAGATTAATCTCCAAAAATACAAAAATAAGACTATTTAAAGTACTCATTAGACCTATAGTCTTGTATGCATGTGGAGCATGGGCGTCAACAAAGTCGGACGAGAAAAGATTACTACTATTTGAAAGAAAAATCTGCGTAGAATATATGGGCCCAAAACGAAACGAGGAAAATTTATATGAACGGAGAACTAATGCAGAACTGAGGGCAATATTCAATGAACCAAATATAGTGGGAATTCTTAAAAGCAGACGAATAAGCTGGGCTGGCATGTCTGGAGAGCGGAGGGCCAAAAAGTGAGTGATGTGGAAACAATGTGGAAACCAAATAAAAAACGACCGATAGGGAGACCAAGACAGCGATGGACTGACCGAGTCAAAGAAGACCTCAAGCTTCTGGGTATTAGAGAGGGTGAACAACTGGCGAAGAACAGGGAGTTGTGGAGAGGCGTAGTAGAAGCGGCGATGGACCTTCAAGGCCCGGAATAAGCCAAAAACAAAAAAAAAATACAATTTAATTATAAGTTATAACACAATATTATGCAGTAGTTATATTTTTGAATTCCAAATCGATCCGTCTGTCTTTTTTATTCATGAATACTTTGATAACTTCTTCATTAAAATTTGGTATTTGATTCACCATTTTCTTTTCAATTGATAACATCGCTAATGCTGTTAATTGTTCTTCTGCCATACTATTTCGCAGAAATGTTTTTATCCTCTTCAATGTCGAAAACGATCTTTCTGCTTCTGCATATGTCATAGGTATTGTTGCTATAATACGTATAAGTTAAAATGTATCTGAAAATATTTCT